CACAGGGACTGGGTCTGGAGGCTGGGACGCTCAAGGGCATAGCCAGGCACAGCTAGCACCAGGGGAGGGTTATGGGCTCTGTGGCAGAGAAAGGAGGAAGCCAACAGCCAACCCTGTGCCCTGGGTCAGCATGTGCTTTGTGAGGTTGATCCCTGCAGACCCAACTGCACAAGGGTTAGGTACCTGGGCTTCTGTAGGGCCCAGTGGGGGGCCGGATGGCTACGTGTCTGAGTGTTCTCCTCTTGCAGGGTGTGGTCAGCGCGAGGCTACACAGGCTTCCCCTACAGTGCCTGCCCCAGGGCACCTCATGGTAGGGTGCCCTGAGCTGCCCCTTAGAGCAGCTTTGGGTCCTGGACTCCAGGTTGGTGGGGGAGGGGTCTCTCTTCTTCTTTTTTTTTTTTTCCTTAAAGACTTATTTTTATTGGAATGGCAGATTTACAGAAGAGAGAGAGAGAGAGATCTTGCATCCACTAGTTTACTCCCAAGTGGTCACAATGGCTGGAACTGAGTTGATCCGAAGCCAGGAGCCTCTTCTGGGTCTCCCACGCGGGTGCAGGGTCCCAAGGCTTTGGGCCATCCTCGACTGCTTTCCCAGGCCACAAGCAGGGAGCTGGATGGGATCATTTATCCCCACACTTGCAGTCTACCCTGGCATGGGCAGCAGCTGGGCAGTTCAGAGCAAAGCTGATATATGACCCTGCTGAAAAGGGGAGGTCGGCATCAGAGTCCTCCGAAGTCTGGCCCAGCTTCCTCCTTGGTGGCCAGCTCTAGGGATCACCGGGGCAGGGCGAGGGGATTGCCAGGGTGAGGGTGCCACCTATCTGGTGTGTCCGAGCTCTGAGGCTGCAGCGTGGCATGGGGCTGCACCTTGCCTTGTGTAAGCAGCTGTGTCCATTCCTGAAACCCCCGTGAAGGAAGGAGGGGCCGTTGGCTCCAGACGCTGCATCGGCCTTGCTTGGCTCTGGGGTCAGGATGAGGCATGTCCTAACAGAGGGCAGTGCGGTGGTGGAGAGAGGGCCCCGTGGCTAGGCAGGATGCCAGGGCACTGGGATCCCCACGTGCCTGCTGAGGGCAGCACCCCCAAGGGATCCCTAGATGGGTTGATGTGTGGGGTGGCTGCTGGGTGGGTGCCCGAGGGAGACATCACGGATGTCTGGTTCAGGAACTTCACTCTATTCTGGAATATTCCTGATGGTCTCCTGAGCCTGCAAACTGGGACATGCTTTTAAAATTTTCCCTTGAATTAGGAAACAGCAGAAGCTTGGTGACCTGATGCCTGTGTGTACCGCTGGTGTCTGGAGACTCTGCTCCACTGCCTCTTCCAGGAGTCAGGGCCTTGAGGGATGAGAGAAGGCAGCAGGGACCCCATACAGGGAGGCACGGAGACCCTGGCAGCAACCAGTCTATTTAAAAAAAAAAAACTTACTGGAAAGTCAGAGTTAGAGATCTTGCATCTGCTGGTTCACTCCCCAGGTGGCTGCAACCACCAGGACTGGGCCAGGCTGATGCCAGGATCAGGAGCCTAAGCCGGTTTCCCACAAGGATGCAGGGATCCAGGCACTTGGCCATCCTCCACCTTTCCCAGGACGCATTAGCAGGGTGCACTGGAAGTGCAGCAGCCAGGACTCACATGGAGCAATCAGTGGAGGTGGGTCTTAGCCCATTACGGCACAGCTCCGGCCCCAGCGTCCAATCTTGAGGGTCCAGCTGTGGCTCTGGTACTGGGCTTGATTTCCTGCAGCTTCCATTACAGGGATCCCACTCCAGGGTTGGGGGTGGGGGTGGGGTTTGGAAGCTCATGCCCTCTGAGTCCTGGGAGCCAGAAGTCAGGATGGCATCAGCCACAGCCCCTCTGAACCTGTGGCTGTCAGGGCTCGGGTGCTGCCCGGTCATGGTGTGATTGATGGCTCTGCCCACACCCTCCTTCCAAATGGTGTCGTGTTTGCAGGTGTTGCACTGACTGGAGCATCACCTTGGAGAGCGACGCCTGGTGCCCTGTCACCCTTCAGACCAGCATGCATGCTGGGAGGCACTGTCCTCCCCTCCCCCTACTTGAGAGACAAGGAGTCTAGAGATATCCAGGCAAGCTGCTCAAGGTCACGCTGCCTGCAGCTTGCAGAGCCAGGAGCCAGCAAGTTTCTTTCTAGAAAGGCCTGTGGCTCTCCCCTTAGGCCCTGGCAGCCAGGGTGTGTAGGTGGCCCTGCCCTTCTGGGAATTCACATATGTCGGGGCAAGCCAAGGTTTGTCCTGTACTGCCTCCCATGTTGCCTCTTTTGCCCTGTGCCTTCCACCTGTGCCAGGCACAGCTCTGTTCTCACAACTCAGTTCTATGGGCTCTTTGGCCTTGGGGAATGTGGTAGGAGAGGCCCAGGCCTGGTTACAGAGGGAACCCTGCTTGTAGGGAGCGAGGCTGTGGAAGAGCAGGTGGCTGGATCCTTGGCAGGGCAGATTTCCCCCCCGCCCCCCGGGCTGGGAACTCAGTGTCCTGCCCCGCACCACCCTGAGAGGCAGTCCTCTCCCTGGGGCCTGGACATGCAGGGATGGAGTCCTGCCAAGCTCTGAGCAGCCAGGATGTGCCTGTCACTGGCTGCCATGGCATGGGTCCCTGCTGCTGCCCTGGCTTCCTCTGGCAAACCCGACTTTGTTGGCCGGGCCGCACAGTCTGTCTTCTGAGTGCAGGTGACTGTGTAGGTGTCCATGGGGGTTATGGTGTGGCTGCCAGGCAGCAACCCCCTCCTGCCTGGGTGCCATGGGCAGGGCAGAATACCCAGACTTATTGTGGGGGGGTCTTCAGGGGAGTGTCCTGAAGAGAGACTTGGCGATGGGGGTCTGGTTACTGTTAGCATGGAAGATGGCACTGCAGTGGTAAGGGAAGGAGTGGTGTCTGACTGGGAACCCAGGGGGCCTGGGGCTGGCATTGTGCCCATCCTGGGCAACATGGCTTACACGGCTGGATCTGGCAGCATGGCAGACAGGAAGTTGCACAGTAAGGGCAAGCCCTGGCAGTGAGGCTGTGTCTTTCAGTCCTGAACTCTCCTTCCTGTGGCCAGAGCTCCCAGTGAGCGCCTGGGGAAGTGGAGGGGGTGGCGGGAGGGACTGGCTGCTGCACATCCAGTGGGAGGCAGGGCCCGCATCCTGTCAAGAGCTGCCGCCAGGGAGCTGCACCTGCACTGGGCTGGGTGCTCAGGGTGTGCATGGTGAGAGGTATACCAGGATTCCCATGTGGAAATCAGCCATAGTGGCCTCAGGGTCCTGGGTGGGGCTGGCCTCCAGGGGGATGCACCATGGGTGTGTGAGGTGTTCCCAGGACCCTGAGTCATGGACACCCAGCCCAGTGAGAGCCCAAGGCTGTGCAGCTTAGGGGTGCTCGGCCAAGGGTGCCAAGGTTCCTCTGGGTTGGCTCCTGATGCACGCTGGGGATGATTCTGTGGCCCCAGGAGGGGCTGAGATGCCCAGCTCCCCGATCTGATTGTGGTGGCTCTGGATGTAGCCAGGGGCCAGGAAGCTGAGGGGTAGCGAGTGTCTCTGCATGGCTCAGACTGCTGGGTATGGCACTCCACCTGGGGCTGGCTCCTGCACCCCTTCACCTCTGCCCACCTCTGCTGTCCTGGTTGGGAGCCTGAGGGCTTTTCTGTTGTTCACCTGGGTTGTGGGCGGGTTACCTGCTCACCTGTTCTCAGCCTGGCAACACATTCTCACTTCTCCAGGACTCCCACCTGCCTGTTTTTCTTGTTGTTGGAGTTCAGCTTTAACAGGCTGAGCATTTATGTGCCAGGCTTGTTGGGCCCTCGGCACAGAGCAGTGAAGTGGAACACGTTCTGATGTCGTGGGCTACACTGGATGCTCAGGAAAGTGCAGGGGCTCTGTCTGTCCTGGTGCAGGTGCAGGCTGTTGTCCGTGTGACACTGTCAATGCTCACCCTCAGGCGACAGGTAGCCTGACTTCTGGGCCCTGGGCCAATTGCCTGTGAGCTATTGCCTCAGCTAATAGCCTGAGCAATCCCAGGGCCTTAGGTACCCCAGGCTGCCTGTGCAGGGTCTGGACCTGGAAACCAAAGCATGGAGAACAAACGTGGCTGGCCATGTCCACAGCATGTCAGCTGTCTTCTGGATCCCTGCCTGCCCTACTGGAGTGTGGGTGTGTGTCCATGCACTGCTTCTGATCCAGCTTCCTGCCAACAGGCCTAGGAAAGCAGCAAGATGTGGCTTAAATACTTGGGTTCTTGCTACTCATGGGAGAGCTGGCTCCTGCTTTGGGCCTGGGTTAGCCCCTGCTGTGGCAGGCATTTGGGGAAAGCAGGAGATGGAAGCACTCTCACACACACTCTCTCTCTCTCTCTCTATATATATATATAAATAAGGTTAAATGACAGGCTCACTTGGGAGACCTGGATGGAGTTGCTGGCTCCTGGCTTCAGTCTGACCCAGTACTAGCTAGCTGGGGAGTGAAACCAGCAGATGAGCCTGGGACTCCAGGTCCCCCCCGTGGGCAGCAGGGACTCAAGGGCTTGATCAGAAGTGGGTGCTGACAAGGTGCACAGCAGAGCCCTCAGGTTTCTATAAGTAAAAATCCGTTTTAAAAAATGAAGGTGCTGTAAGTATAGGATGAAAACTTGAGATTTATTTGAAAGGCACAGAGATCTTCCATCTGCTGGTTCACTTCATAAATGGCTTCATGGTCCCAAATGGCCAGACTTGGGGGGCTGGGTCCCCCACTTGGGTGCAGGACCTCAAGCACTTGGGTCATCTGCTATTTTCCCAGGCGCATTAGCAGGGGATTGGAAGTGGAGCAGCTGGGACTTGAACTGGCATGCCAGAATCACGGGTGCTAGCTAGCTTTAGCCACTACTCCACCAGTCCTGAACAGTAAAAACTTAAACTACCTAAAGGGTCCGCAGCTGCCCCCTGCCCCAACCGTTTGTGTTGACATGCCCGGGGCAGGACACCTGGGCATGTGTGTCTACTGTCCTGGCCCCTTACCATCGCTGCCTCTGCCTGCAGGTGTCTGTGCTGGTCCTCTTTGCCCTGGCCTTCCTCACCTGTGTCGTCTTCCTGGTCGTCTACAAGGTGTACAAGTATGACCGCGCCTGCCCTGACGGCTTCGTCCTCAAGGTGAGCTCCACCACCCCCTGGGGACATCTGTGCACCTCACCTCCTCCTTGGAACTTGGGGCTACTCCTGCTGTCTCCCAGCTGGCCTGGGAGGGGTGCCAGAGAACTGGGGCCTTGTGCTCTGTAGTCCAAGGCAGGAGGCCCTAGGCTAAAGCTCTGCCCAGGGCGTGGACACACAGGCGGCCAGACCACTAGGAAGAGACGAGACTCCTGAGGTTGGGGATGGGCCCACATGGAAGGCAGGAAACCCCAGGACATACTTTCCTCCCATGGAAGGGACCACAGGGGAACCCAGCCTCACTGCTTATTGTGCATGCACAGACACTCCTACGCAGGTTACCAGTGAGGTGGAGAGGGAGGGTGCAGCCCTGTCTGTGGGGATACATGGGGCTGGGGAAGGGCCCATGTCCACTCTGTGACTTCCCAAAGTTGGGAAGAGATGGTCCTGCCAGGACTTGCACTGCTGAAATCAAACCTGACGGGTGCTGGGACTGAGCACAGGCATGGATCAGCCCTGCCATCTGCTGGTGCCAGGGGCATGGGCCTGGGTCTAGTCTTTGGCTGATGGGAGGGACCCAGGGCCTTCTTTTTAGCAGGAGAGGCGTAATGCACCTCCTCATCCTCCCATTCTGTGCTGCCCTTCCAGGCCCCTGGTCCTCAGCCTGTCCTGATGTCCACTTATGGCCAAGGTGTCTTGCCTAGGCACTGCACCCCAGCCAAGAGCCAGTTACTAGAAGACAGGCAGAGAAGGGGGCAGGGTGTTGAGTGAGAGTGTGTTAGGAACAGAAAGGGCCAGATAGGTCAGGTCGGGTGACCAGGCAGGCAGCTGGTTGGAGGGCATTTTGGGGCCCAGCTGTGGAGGTGTCCGCTGGGGGGTGCACCCAGCAGAGGGAGCCTCTGACATCACAGAGAAGATACTGAGTGTCCTGCAAGGGGCCCTGGAGTGGAGAGCATGCTGGGGACCTGAGGAGTCCGAGGTTGAAAGGAGAAGCAGGGATGGAAAGATGACTTGAGCAGACTGCTGGCTGGGCAGAAGGCCCAGGTGGCCAGGGTGTGGGGGTGGCATGCACAAGGGCAGATTGCAAGACTGAATCTAGGAGGCAGGAGAGGGCCTGGTCAGATCTGGGGACTTGGAGGCTGATGCCATGGAGCCAGTCAAGGCAGACCTGGCTGGAGCTGGGCTGTGCGTAGATGGCTTCCAGGGGACCAAAGTTCCCCTGGCCTCTGCTCTTTACCGAACTGGAGTTCCCTGCCAGGAGGAGGTGCAACTCCACGGCTGCCACTCCGTCCACAGGTATTCCTGGAGCTGTTCATATTGAGGCTTTGGTGTGGTCGGCAGCTTGGGTTTTTCTGGCTAGCAGCTGGGAGCTCCAGGCCCCTGGCCTCTTCCTCTTCCCTGAAGCTCTGGCGGGAGCCCCATTTTACCAGTGCCCAAGGGCCAGTGAGCTGGTGGTCACACCCTTCACAGCCCTACCGCAGCCTCAGGGGACTTGTACAGGCAGCTTGGGCAGGTTTCCCACCATGAAGTTATCCAAGTGTTTTAGAACAGCTCCTAACATGTCTCAAAGCTGCTGCCCGGGTCCCCGAGATGCCCATGCTGGCCTGTCCTTCTATGCTGCCCAAAAGGAACAGCACTTAGCACTGCAGGACTGGCAGCTGGCTTCATCCCACAGGTGGGCTGTGCAGGGGTAGGGAACCATGGTCAGCATCCAGGGCCGGCCACCCTCCCACCAGCATGGGGTGTCCCGCCCATCTTCACTCCCTGGACTAAAGGCTCTGCGGTGCCTCACAGGCTGTGGGGATGAGGGTGGGATTCTTGCAGCATCCCTGCCACCCTGCCACATCCTGTGTGTGCAGCTTCCAGCTCAGCCCCCTACCCACTTCAGACTCCGTGGTGGCTCTGGGGAGTATAGAGGGCTGTGCTGGCCCTTGCTGTCAGCTCCTGCTTCAGTTTCCCTGACGCTGGGGGTGCCCACCGAGACAGGGGCACACACAGGCACAGCCTTCCTCAGCTCTCTGTCCTTTCCTGAACCGGCTATTTGTGGACTGACAGTCGCTGTGGAGCTGTAATTGGGTGAACTCTCTGGAAACACTTGTGCAAGGCTCTTGTGCCTGCTGTGGCTGGTGGCTGCGTGCGGTTGTCACTGGTAGCTTCGGGGAGGTGCCCCAAGGCCCTGTGGGCGAGTTTGCTTTCAGCGGCCACTTGTCTTGCAGAACACACAGTGCATCCCAGAGGGCTTGGAGAGCTACTATGCTGAGCAGGACTCCAGCGCCCGGGAGAAGTTCTACACGGTCATCAATCACTACAACCTGGCCAAGCAGAGTGTCACCCGCTCCGTGTCACCCTGGATGTCCGTGCTGTCAGAGGAGAAGCTGTCGGAGCAGGAGACAGAGGCGGCTGAGAAATCAGCCTAGCTGGAGGGGCAGGTTCCTACCACGTGCCACTTGGCGGTAACAGAGGGACTGCAAGGGCCATTTCATGAAATACACTTACTGATAATTTAGAGGTTACTCATCTACGGTGCAATCGCTTCTGTTTGCTAACGCTGCTTTGCAAATCAAACTCGCTGCTGATCACCTATGGGTGTAGACCGAGTGTGTCTCAGCAGTGCTTCCCGAGCCCTGGCCCTCCTCACGGTCGGGGTCTGTCTGCAGCCCCTTTGCTGCGCTTTCCTGGTTGCTATCACAAATAAATGCGTGCTGGACAGGCCGGGGCTGCGGACTTCAGATAAATAATGTGTTTTGTGGAATTTTTTTTTAAGCCACATGCTGTGTTCTCCAGAGCCACACCTGGAGCGGGCTCTTGCCCAGCTGTGGGCAAGTCGAGGGAGTGGGTGCACCCTGCACCATGCCCAGGGGATGTGTGGCAGGACCTGGACTTCCCTGCGGGCGGCTGTCCCGTAGCCGGGTGTGGCATAAGAAGGACTTGGCACCGTCCTCTGCCTGCATCTGCTGGTACTAATCTGCATGCAAGGCCCTGTGTGCGAGGGCTGGGTGGGAAAATGAGGATGTGGCCGCCGCCCAGTGCCAGGGCGCCTTGGGTTCTTCCCCAGCTGTAGCTCCCCTGATGGCGGACACAGGCCGGGAAGGCTGGGGGTATGACATGGGGGTGGGGGTGGGGGGACTGGTGTGGCACCTTGCAAATACAGTGACATTTCAATCCACAGCCTTTGTAAGAAAATCACGTTTCAATTTGAATCTTGACATGAAAATGTTTACAAAGACCACCAGTTAGATGAAGTAAACGTTCAGACATATTCACAGCATGTCCTCCCATGGTCATTCAATGTGCTATTTCTGGCGGACATGGGCAAAACTGCACTGTTTATGGGCGGTGAGAAACGGCAGACAGTGTAGCATGCCACATGCCAGCATGGTGGCTGTGGTGGCCCCACTGGCACCTCCAACTGATGTGTCTGGAACACAGACGCCGCCTTCCACATGGCAGGCTCCTGTGAGCACCGCAGGGACAGCAGGCGGGCTTGTGGGGGTATGCGTGGTGCGGGCTGCATACCCATCCATGAGAAGCTGCTGGCGTCCACCTGTGTGGAGAGGCCAGTGGGCTGCCTGACCACTGCTGCCTCGCGCGCCTCATGCATGGCATGCTGGGAAGCTGAGGCACACTCCAAACAGGCTACTGGGCCACCTGTGCTGCTGCTGCCTCTCGTGCTGCGCCCACTGCATGCCGGGACGCTGCCTGCACACACGCCTACCCTGGCCTCACAGAGGTTGGGCTGGGCACAAGGAAGGGCACGCTCATGCTTCCGTGGCCACTTCCTTCTGGGGCCTGGGGCCAGGAGAGCAGGCCACATGCCTGCCACTGGCGTGCTGGAGGCATTGGCTGTGGGCCGGTCAGGTCCAGCAGCCTCTCGCTGAGGGCCCTGGTGTGTCTTCATGGCGCCTGTTGGTTCAGACTCACTGTTGCCTCAACAGCAAAGGGCCGACACTGGACTCATTAGAGAGCAGGCAGGTGGGGTTCCACACCTCCATGTCCCAGCCCCCCGCCCCCAACCCCAGCACAGTGTCCCACCCCCATCGACCTCACACAGACCACTTCCATGCTGTGTTCATTGATTTCTTGGCCAGCTGCTCAGCAGGTTGGGCCACTGGGCTGGGAGACCCTTTGGTGAGAATACACAGGTGTGTCTTGAGCCCTTGTCCCCTCAAGCAGTGTGCTGCCAACCTGGTCACAGGCATGTCTTAGTGCCAAGCGTCCGTGCAGATGGCTGGCGCCACTGCCTGAGGCCAGCAGGCCCAATGGCCAGGCTAGCTGTCATACCAGTCGAGGAAGAGCAGGGAGAAGGAACACATAACGAGGAAGAAGAGGATCCACACACGGAAGCCAGCGTTGTTCTTAATGGCCTGGGGTGGGGGAGGGGAGAGCCGTCGCTGTCACAAGGCTGCGGGGGGCTCAGTGTCCCTGTCAGCTGCAGCCACACTCAGACCACGCTCACCTCCGCTGGGCAGCGCCCCCCAGCACTGCCCCGCCCTGCTCAGCCACCAGTGGGAGCCGTACAGCCCTCCCAAGGGCTCCTGCATCCGTGCTAGGCTTTAAAGCTCCAGGCTGGTATTTTACGACAACGTGACATCAGCAGGGACCCTGTGGTGGTCTCCCATGAGCCCTGCCAAAGGACCAGCTCAGCAAGCAAAGTCCACCCCACAGTCCACGGCCAGGCCCTCCCCGCAGGGAGCCAGCAGCACCATGCAGCTCCCACGTCCCAGGAGACCCCAAAGACCATCTACCTCTCTTATGTCTTCGTTGCCCTCTTTGATGTTTTCAGTTGCTCCGACCACTAGCTGGTGGATGTTGTCAATCTCCGCTTCCTGTGGAAAAGAAAAAAAGAGTCGGATAAATATAACGACGTTCCTGCCCTGAGACAGCCTTGGCTGGCACAGCACCCCAAGGGGAAGGCTTGCCCTGTTTTGTAAAAGGCACACTTGGGCTCAGAGAAGTTGACCAACTTGCTCAAAGCCACACAGCAGCCACATGGCAGGAGATTCAGACTCCTGCTGGGCATAGGTCTCTGTTCCTTCCATCCCACTTCCACCTCCTGTGCGTGTGCCAGGGGACAGAGACCACACTGGTAAGGAGCCAGCTTTTGCCCCAGCCACATGGTTTGCAGCCTGCGGCCTGCTGTCCCCTGGCAGTGCCAGTGTCTTGCCCCAGCTGGCGGAGGCTGGGCCTCAGCCTGGGCTGCAGAGGTGGCTGGCTGAAGTCGCAGGGCCAGGAGTAAAGTCACCGAGGCCGCCAGCCACCCCGTGCTGCATTAGAATGACACAGTCTGGGAAGGCTCCGAACCACAGTTGGAACTTTCTAGAGAACCCTGAGGTGGGGGTCCATGAGCCCTGCCTGCACTCCTCTGCAGTACTACCACATGGCCACATCCAGAAATGACAGCAATCCCTATGGACTGAGAGCCTGCTGGGCCGGCTCTGTCAGGCTGTCCCCCTTCCCTGGCCCTGAGGGAGGCAGGGGGCATTGGCTCCCTTCCGGAGACGAGGAGCTGAGCTCAGGAGAGGCAGGTCCCGGTCACACAGTGTACAGTGGCAAGCCCTGGCCCAGGGTATGCTGGGAGACACCAATGTGGCACACAGCCAGAGCTGGGGCTTCTCTGTCCTGTGCTGGTGATGGACACCATCAGCTGTCCCTTCAAGGCACTGTTAGAATGGCCAGTCCTCAGGAACCCCAACTTCCAAATTGTTGGGTTCAGCATCTTCACTCACAGTGACTTGCCTCTGACTGTGGTTCAGGGAGCGAGGCAGCAACCTTTCACATGCTGCAGAAAACCGATGCTAGCCTTTCAAACTCTTTCTGTGGGTGCCAGAAACTGCAGAGCAAGTAGGCCAGTCAGTCCCCAGCTGGCAGGATGTGAGTTGCAGGCAGGTGGAGGAAACAGAGTTCCCTGCAGAGGGCAGTCCCCTCCCCGTGGTGCTGTGAGTAGCGAGGGTCAGGCCTGAGGAGATGGCTGGGAGCAAAGCTGTGACCTACCTCTTAGATTCCTGCATGTCCCTCTGTTGGGACATGGGGGCTGGAGTCCCAGCAGCCACCCAGCCTGTGCCCAGCAGCTATCCACCCTCCTCCACGGTGAGCTCCCCCGATCCCTGCTGTCCTGGGCAGGTGCTTGGGAGAAGGGGGCTCGGGCTGAGGCACTGTGGGAGAGCTCTCGGGCCAGCATTCCAGACCTTTACCCATGCTCACGGGTCAGCAGCCAGGCCTCCACCCACGCTCACGGGTCAGCAGCCAGGCCGTCCACTCCTGCTCATGGATCAGCAGCCCAGGCCTCCACCCATGCTCACGGGTCAGCAGCCAGGCCCTCCACTCTTGCTCATGGATCAGCAGCCAGGCCTCCACCCACGCTCAAGGGTCAGCAGCCAGGCCCTCCACTCGTGCTCACGGATCAGCAGCCCAGGCTTCCACCCACGCTCATGGGCCAGCAGCCCAGGCCTCCGCCCACGCTCACAGGCCAGCAGCCAGGCCCTCCACTCATGCTCACGGCTGCTGGGATCAGGAGACATCTCCCGAGTGCTCTGCACTTACAACTGCTCTTGTGTTTGCTGTTGGTTCTTTACCTGTTGCAACACCTTTTCTGTAAATATCTCTTGGAGTCTGGAAATTTCAACCACTTTCCCTTCAATCTGCCTGCACAAAAAGAATGAAGAGGTTACACATGAACTAAGTGGTACTTGGCAATTAGACGGGACTGTCACAATCCCTACAGAAGCCAATGTGCCTTGCACGGGCAGGGAGGCAGCAGGGAGGGTACGCACATGAGACCAGGAAGCGGGAGAAAGAAGTTGGCTCATCCTCCCAGCATATGGTACTTTCTAGAACTTCACTCTGAGCATGTGCAGTAGTCACTACAGGGATGGGTGGGATCCAGTAGCCCTATGTCCTGGGTCACTGTGCAGGGATGGGAGTGGGGTGCAGTGGCCCTGCGTCCTGAGATGGGGGTGGGTTTAGTGGCCCTGCGTCCTGGGTCACCATGCAGGGACAGGGTCGGGGGACAGGAGGCGAGGCCCCAGTTATAAAAGGCAGAGGCTCCAGTGAAGTCCCTGTGCCTCCCTGTGCCTGCTGTCAGAACATGGCGATGACCCGCTCTACCCGTGTTCACTGTGTGAAAGAGGCCATTCCATTCATATCTACTTCCTGTTACAAGGGCAAACCCCCTGGGCTGGGAAGGGAGCATGGAGGTTGCCTGGCACATGTCAGCAAGCCGGGGGGCTGCACCTAGAGAGGAAGTCCCCCAGCAGATGGAGAGATGGAATTCTGTTCCCACACAGCAGCCACAGGCAGGCTCTAGATGTTCCCACAGAAGCCAGGCCTCTGAGCACGGCCACGTGGGCTCCTGCATGGGACCCAGTGCAGGGGGAGGCTTCTGTCAAGTGTCCTGCACAGGCCCTATTTCATGGCAGAGCCCAGGGGAAATCTGCCACTACTTACTGACCCTGTCTGGATAGCAGCCTCCCAGCCCCCGACCCCACATCTGTGGACGTTAGACCACCACAACGAATAAACAAAGCTCTCGGATAGTTCCCAGAGAACACTGTGCATACCTGACTTCATCAAACAAGCTATTCATTTCACCGATGAGTCGCTGGTTTTCTTGTTCAAACTGTGGGGAGACAAACACACTCAGGAGTCGTCATCCTGACCTCGGCAGGCGTGCTCCAGTCTGCGCTGCTGTGGGGAGCAGTGCAGCCTGCCCGGAAGACTGTGTGTGCGTCAGTGGAACAGCCCCTGCTTTCAGGCCAGGGACACCCAAGGATGGCTGGGCTGCCTGTGGCCTCATTCATCTCCACTTCCAGAGTGTAAGCGACTTTCTGACTGAGGGTCACCCCATGTCCTTCCTGGCCTGTTTCTCTCGGAGCTCCTGTGGTCTGTGTCTTGCCTCGGGTTCCCCTGATATTATTTTGTAACATATTCATTTTGAACTCTAACTTTGAAAGCTTATGATGTATCATGTACATGATCAACTTGCAAAAACAGCTTGGATTACACGGAGTCTGCTGGGCACAACTCCAGTCAGCTCCTGGCGTGTACCGCTTGGACAGGCAGGAGACTGAAGACACTGCTGAGAGGCTAGACGGCCATGGCCTTGCAGTGGCACTCTGAGGACAGGGAACAGAGGCACCCACCGTGTGGTCCCACAAAGCTCAAGAAGAAAGGGTACCATGAAAGCACTGTGCATGGGTCTCATTTTTAAAAACTCCTGCGACACCTTTCTGGAACATTCCTTGGGAGCATAGTTCTTTTCTCTTCTGTCCCAGGGATGTGTGTGGAGTACGGCAGTACTTCCCTCAAGTCCCTGGCTCACTGCTCCTCCTGAAAGCTCTGTGTCAGCTTTCAAGCAGCACACACAGCAGGCAGGCCAGGGCTAACATCTCTGTAGCCAGTGCTAACTAGAGGAGAGAGAGGAACAGGTGTCTGACAGGTTTCATATGTGCTGAGGGCTGAAGAGGTCAGCCGGCTTCCACAAGACTGAATTTTAAGGAGATCTTTCCCCTGCCACAGGCAAGGTCACCAGCAGGCTTGGCTCATGACATTTCCTCACCTGGGCTTCAGGAAGGTTCCACTGCTGCCTGAATGGACCAATGGCATCACCTGTCACTACGGCTAGGTGGCAGATAAAACTTGTGGAAGCCCCAGTGGACGTGGGTGTCAGTCCTATGGCTTCCCAGAAGCCTCAGGGGAGCCTGGGCCAGCAGAGCGGAGCTTGTGGCTTGGGGCTTTGCTACCTGCCCAAGGACCAGACCACAGTGCCTCAGGCTGACTGCCCCAGACAGGTAACCACGCCTCTGCCTCTCCGTCTCTATTGCTGAAATGCAGTGACAACAGCAGTAGGGTTTTTAGAACACAGGAGTTAGGGAGGTGCATGGAGGCCAGCATCTGCCTCTGGGAGGCCGTGTCATCTCTCCATCAGGATGGGGACCTTGCTGGGCACAGTGTGGAACAGAAGGCCCGGGCTCCAGGCTCAGCACCATGCACGGGCATCTGTGTTCCCGCCAAAGACAAATGGAGCCTAAGAACTGAAGCAAAGGGAAGATGGGGGCCTGGAGAGTGGGGCAGGTGGACGAGCAGGGCCGGCCGAGCAGGGCCGGCTGAGCAGGGCAGGCCAAGCAGGGCCGGCTGGCTCCCTGCTGGGGGTGTCTGCTGCAGCCTGTCCGACCCTCATCCAACACACCGCTTTCCTTCAGCCAGACGCGCAGCCGCACGTCCCCTATCTGAGTACTGGTCCCACTCCTGGCTACTCTGCGTGTGACACAGCTGTCTGCTCATGCAGCCCCGGAGGTGACAATAATGGCTCAAGCACTCAGTCCCTGCCATCAACATGGGAGACCTGGATAGTGTCAGGCTCCTAGGTGCAGGCTAGCCCAGCCTCGGCTGCTGAGAGCCCACGCTGGAGGGGTGAACCAGCACACAGAACTCTGTTTCTTTCTCTCCCATTCTTTCAAGCAGGTGAAAATAAACATTAGAAAAAGAAAAGAACAGAAAAGCAAGAATTCTCAAGGAGTAACATTAGAAACCCATTCGGTTCTGCCTCCTCAGTCTGACCATAAAACATCTGCTAATTCAAGACGTTAATATACCTGTATCAGGAGTTATAAATGGAAATGCACTGTGCAGTGTACAAACCCTGCAACAATTTGGATATATGTAACAGTTGTTCCTCTGGTTGCAATCATGAATCACACTGCTGTTACAGGACTTAACTCATTCTTTAGCCCTGAGGAAAAATTCCAAAACGGTGATCAAGAATTGTGACCACAATTTGTTAGAACCCTTTCCAATCCAAAACCAAAAGTGTTGGATTTGCTCTCAGGTTACACCCGTTCCTTCAGAGTTGGGTGAGCCTAGCCCATCACGACAGGACTCAGCGATGGCTCTCCCCAGCCTGGAGCAGCCCTGCTGGCTCCGACTGCTTGAGCGGCTAACACGGGTGAAGGCACTGGTGGTGAGCAACTGTCACCGGTACACTTGAGACCATGCCGGTCAGGACAGCAAAGGAGATGCAGCACAGCACATCCTGTCATAAGGGAAAAAAGCCTCCAGGCTGCCCACCGGTCACACCCTCAGGCACACAGGAATACCTGTGGCAATGCCATGCTCATGCTCTGTGAGATGACATCCTCATCTCAGGTACATGTGTGAGAAAGCTGTGGTGACGCCCCAGGCAGGCCCTGTACTCACCTCAGTCACACACAGGGCACATGTGGTGACGCCCCAGGCAGGCCCTGTACTCACACACACAGGGCACATGTGGTGACGCCCCGGACAGGCCCTACACTCACCTCAGTCACACACACAGGGCACATGTGGTGACGCCCCAGGCAGGCCCTACACTCACCTCAGTCACACACAGGGCACATGTGGTGACGCCCCGGACAGGCCCTACACTCACCTCAGTCACACACAAGGCACATGCGGTGACGCCCCAGGACAGGCCCTACACTCACCTCAGTCACACACAGGGCACATGTGGTGACGCCCCGGACAGGCCCTACACTCACCTCAGTCACACACAAGGCACATGCGGTGACGCCCCGGACAGGCCCTATACTCACCTCAGTCACACACAGGGCACATGTGGTGACGCCCCGGACAGGCCCTGTACTCACACACACAGGGCACATGTGGTGACGCCCCGGACAGGCCCTATACTCACCTCAGTCACACACACAGGGCACATGTGGTGACGCCCCGGACAGGCCCTACACTCACCTCAGTCACACACACAGGGCACATGCGGTGACGCCCCGGACAGGCCCTACACTCACCTGAGTCACACACAGGGGACTCAGGCATGACGCCCCAGCCCTCCCTCGCACCCCACCCTGTGCACACAGAACACTCTCTCGGTACTTGCTGAGCACAGCTGCATGCCCCGCCATGTACAAGGAACCTTCCACAACTAAGTTGTGCAACAATCCTTAAGAGCAAGCGATACGAGGCGGATTTACACCAGTGCAGGTCAGTCCCAACAAGGGCACTGTGCCACTGAGCGGTGATGCCAGCCTGGCTGCTGGCCTTCTCAGACCCTCTGAAATGACTGGCAATGTTTGGATCATGTGTCTGCCCAGCTTAGCTAAACCTTGGCACTCACCACTGTGCACAGGAGAGGACAAACCTGTAGACCAACTATTGCTTTGGGGATGACTCTAGGTTCTCCCCACAGGAAGAGCAGATGTGGGTAAAAGCCAACATAGAGGGCCTGGCTCAGTGGCCTAGTGGCTAAAGTCCTCGCTTTGAATGCACCGGGATTCCATATGGGCACCGGTTCTAATCCTGGCAGCCCCACTTCCCACCCAGCTCCCTGCTTGTGGCCCGGGAAAGCAGTCGAGGACAGCCCAAAGCTTGGGACCCTGCGCCCATGTGGGAGACCTAGAAAGAAGTTCCTGGCTCCTGGCTCAGGTGTGGTATAGCACCAGCTGCTGTGGTCACTTGGGGAGTGAATCATCAGATGGAAGATCTTCCTCTCTGTCTCTCCTCCTCTGTATATACATATCTGACTTAGCAATAAAAATAAATTTAAAAAAAACCCACAACACAGAATCCTGCTGCCCAGGGAAGGCCCTGGGGAGCTCTCATCTGAAACCCATGCAGCTGGCCGCCCCAGAGGAGCTTTCCCAGGGACACCAGAGTGCACGTCTGAGTGGCACAGGCAGGGTGGGTGCCCAGGCACTGTGGCCAATGTCCTGGCTCCAGCATTTGTCAAGAAGGCCAGGAGGAGATGGTGAGCCCTACCACCTTGCAGTGCGATTCCTTTGAATGTTGTGGGGAAAGGAGCACTAAGAAGTCAACATCTACTCTGTCCCAGTGCCAGTGGTGCCATGTGCTGGCCCGCCCAGAGAGTGGGCAGTGAGGCCCACTCTTGGCCCCAGCCCTGGACACTGTTGGCTCAGGGCACTTCTGGCACTTCACTTTCTTCCACGTGGTCCACATGTATGTGTGTGCACGCGCGCGCACACACAGAGGCACAGGAGCTGGCTGGCAGGGGCTTTTGCTGAACCCTCCGTGCAGCCCTGGCCAGTGAGGGGACAGGAGAGGAAGGTAGGGGAGCTGACAGCAGTGGTTAAAGGTATTACTCTGTTCTTTTTTCTCTTCACAGGACCACAACTCTAGTAATTCAAACAAGTCAAAAAACACGAGAGAGGCAATTACAAAAGACCCACGTCAGACAATTCCACTGCTGCTGGAAGACATCTGTCATTAGCAGAACTACGGTAAAGCATTTTCTGCTCTATGCTATTGAAAATTAAAACACATGAAAAGCATGCTAAGGACTGAGGAATCAAATGGCTGAATATTTATAAAATTCCCATGCCTAGTTTTAAAATTGGCATAGAACCAGATGTCTTACTCCATGAACCTGTTCTGGGGAAACCAGCTGAGAGCAGCTCAGTGCAGAAGGCTGTTACCATTTGGATTTCTTCTGGAGACAGCTCGTCTTCGCCTCTGCCATCTCCCCAGGTGCCCGATTCAGGCTGTGCTTCAGACACAATCTTTTCTGTTAACAAAAAAGGGAAAATAGACGAAGATTCATTTTAGAATCAGCTGGCATCCTTAAAACCTGGCATGGAACAGGCTCCTGCAGCTTTGTCCACACTTGCCATCTGTCAGCCAGGCACTGCCAATGTGGTTGTTCTACAACACTGAGGCCGTCGTGTGTGTGTGTGTGTGTGTGTGTGTGTGTGTGTGTGTGTGTGCGCGCACATGCATGTGTGTACGTGGAGGGGAAGGGCTTCCGTATCAACACTGCACTGAGTTCAGCAACATTGCACATCACACCCACATCTTCCCTCTACTTTTGAAGACTGCAAACTATATAATATTTTACGCAAACACACACACAGAGGAAATGCTGCCATTCCCCAACTCTATTCTACTTCCAGAATTCCTGACGTAGTCCCAGGACTTTGTCAAAACAAACTCGGCCATGCTTAGACACAGATAAACAATCTCTTGCTTTCCCCAAACCCAGAATCACATGGGTTGGTGAGTGCAACGGTGTGTTGCTCACAAAGGTTACCCACAATGTTAAAAATTCTCTTCTGCTTCTCGACATGTCTTGGAGATCTCAGCAGGCCAGTTCACCTGGATTAACCCGACAGCTCCGAAAGCCCCTCCAGACCCTGCCAGTTCCCAGTGACAGGTGACTCTGTGACAGCGCCCTGGAAGGGCCTCCTTTGCTTCAGTCACACGCTGGCACCGCAGCGGGTCCGGGCTATGTCCTGGCTTTGTATTGGTAGCTCACATCAAGGCTCGTACCTGGAGCCTCTTCAGAGGCAGGCTTTTCCTCCAAGTCTTTTGAAGGCTCCTGGGACACTTTTTTTTCAGAAGAGGTGGATTCTCTTGTCTTCGCATTTGGCTCTGGTTCCAGTTTAGATCTGAAAATAAACAATTAGCAGTCACCTTCTTTATTAGGCTGGTTTCTGACAAGAGGAGGAAGCCCTGTGTGGTCCCTGCCTCTTTGTCCTCTGGGTCCTCTCACTACAGAATGGCCACTGCTCTGGGCCCACTGGCCAAATGGATGCAGTCCTGCAGAGGCGGCCTGCAGGAGCCGTGCACTGCCCTGAGTTCCTGGTCCCTTCTCTGCCTTTGCTCTGAGAAGGCCCCACCGCTCCCCAGCAGTGGACGTTCTCCCCACAGTGATGGCCGGGCTCTCACTCCCACTCTGTGTTCACTGTCTCCTCCACTTGAGTGCATACCTCTGCAAGTCACACCTGCTACTCAGCCCTGGATTCTGGCCTAGCCCCTGGCATGCAGTTTAAGAGATGCATGCTGACGGCGTGCTATAGGAATCTGTGAATAGCTACTAAGAGAGAAAAAAAGGTTGGTTATTGAACAGAGCTCTGAAATAGCCTTATTGGAATCAACATAACACTCTGCTAACTACAGACAGGAAAGCATTATAAAGGCCTATAATGAAGTCTCTACTATTAGAGATTATAAGTAAAATGCAGTAATGCAAACGTTGGATGACTTACACCAGATTACATTTCTGGCAGGCTTATTGTGTGTTGGATAATTTTCTAAGTACTTTATATGGATACATTAATTTAGCTCAAAAACACCCCTCTACCTCTATCTTAGGCTTTTGTAGAGCCGGGGGCCTGTGCAAGCCAGGAAATTGGCACGGGCCACACAGTACCTGCTTGGGCGGGACAGGACGAGACATGGATGTTCATGTCACTATGTGTCACGTGAGAGGGCTTTTGTGGACCAACAGGCCTGAGAAGGTCATGCCCACGCTGGGTGGATGTTCTCTGGATGAGCCAACAAACTCACCATAATGTAACTTAGCAGTAATGGAAAGTTGGTTTAACATTTGGAAATCCATGTAATATACCACAGTAACAGAACAGATAGATAACAACAATAACAAAAACATACAAAACATTTCAAGAGCCCTTTATAACAGAAATTGTCAGCAAAGCAGGAGTGTAAGGCATGCAGTCAAGGGCTGACTCAGCAGGTCTGGAGAGCCTGGTCTCTGCACAAGGAGAAGCACACCCTTGACCAGCTCCTGGAGCACAGCAGTGACTCTGCATGCCTGGGGATGTTCCAGATAGTTCATGCCAACAATGTCTGTGAGGATTCAGCTTGACAAGATGGCCAAGGGTTTTGGATATAACATTTCACTCTTTAGAAAACACCCAGATGCAGTGGGACAAGTGAAGTCTTCAGGATAAGCTATGGGGCTTGTCTCACCAGGCCGGACCATGAAACACACCTTATCACAGACACCTTTGTCCAACTTAACACACAAACTCCTTACTGCTGATTCTCAGTGTTGGGGCCACAGCCAGGTTTCTGAGCATCAGCCACCCCTCCACCCCTTAGATCACACTGTGCAATCTTGGATAGGTTCTACCATCAGCTTGAACAACCTCACATCTGCCAATTTTCAAACTAGCTTGAACCCAATATGACATCCCACCTGCCAGAATTTGCAGATTTTTTCCCCCCAGTTAATCATGACAAGCAGTTTAACATTGGTGTGCCTTCTCATCTGTAAAGTAGGGCTGTAACTGCAACTCCCTTTAACGTTACTGGCTTAAATCTAAGTCCATAGTACAGTTCACAGCACAAGAACTCCAATAATGAGCTCTCATTTTACTATTACATGGCTGCCACCCTGTATTCCCGTGTAAAAAGAAAGGGCACAGTCACATGGGTAATCTCTGGTGATGTCCTGAAGCCATGCCCATTCTCCCTCACAGAATGCAGACAAACAGAACAAAGTGTAGGAGTAACCCACTGAAAATTCCCAGAATTCAGAAAAGAAGCACTGATGTAACTCGAACAGGGGGCTCGGAAGGGTGTGCCCATCGCTGGCAGGAGTCCTGCCACATGAGGAGGGGAGGGCTTTGGGGTCTGCGGGCGTCCAGGGAGGTGCCTCCCAGATTCCAGGTTACCCCAGAAATTCTACAAATCCTACGATGGTCTGAAGACTGGACCTTTATATCCTCGGCTGATGGATGCCATGAAAAGTACTCAGAAAGGGAGTTCGGAGAGAGCAACAGACTGATTCTAGAAGGCTGCTTATTTGCAGGGTGCCCTGGACGAGCTTTTTTCTACTCTGAGTTTTCTTGGCCTGCAAAACGCAGAAGGAGAAGACGCTGCCTTCCTCAAGGGGCTGCTGCAGAGCCCTGGAGCACTCCCCGCAGCACAGAGTGTGGCTCTAGCAGCCTCCTGCCTGACTGACCCAAGTGGGAGGCCCTGGCCTGGGCTGCTTACATTCTACACCAACATCAGAGCTCAGCCTGGCTTTTTCACGCTCACTTTCCTGGCTCCAAAATCCGCTATCTCCCTCTCAAAGCTGTTAGATGACCAAGAAGCACAGTAGGTAAAACAAACAAATGCAAACCCCTGTGTGGAATGCAAGCGTGTCTGGCATTCTTACTACTACTAATCAAAGTGGGGAAAGGATCAGGAGTGTGACAGGGCGGGCGTGACTCAGGGAAAGCATCTTGAGAAAGCAGGCTCCACCCGGGCTGGGGCAGACAGGAGGCTGAGGCTCCTAGCAGTTCCGGGTCACAGTGTGGCCACCTAACTTCGGAGAATTCCTGTGCTGTTTCTGACGGGATCAGAACCCTCAGGCAAGAGTGAGAGTTTCAGCTGTCCCACATCCTCAACATTGCTCATCTCATTTTGCCATTCCAGTATGAACCAGCATTCTGTGGGCTGTGGGGTTTGACTTAATTACAGAGAAGTCTGCAGCACAGTAGAAAGAATCCTCTTTTACGGAATTATGAAAAAGTAAGCTGCCCCTATACGAAACTGTACCACATAATTCAGAATTCAAAATGAAAATATATTTTAAAAAGTACTGATGAAAAAAATGGTAAGATGCCAACATGTCCCCTTTACTCCATTTTATTATTTCTACACAAGAACATTCTTTATACCATAACTAGAATGCAGTCATCAAAATCCAATCCATTACTTCCACCTCTGCCCCGGCTCACTCTGTTCTGCCCTGATTTCTCAGGAGCATCTTCACATCTAGGTCAGAACCACACTGTACTGGAGGCTGCTTCTGTTCCCCTACACCTGGAATGGTACTTCGGTCTCTCCTTGGGCCTCCAGTCCTTGACACACAGTGCCACGCCGCCGGTCCTGCAGCCTTTCACCCAGCTTGCTGCTCCTTCCTGGCTGGGGTGCACCTTTGGTATAAGTCAGAAAAGTGGTACATATTCTTGAGGCGTCCTACAGTGTGTACCATTTCCCTTTGCCTACTCCATCAATGAGAAGGTGGCCAGGTGCTCCCCAGGAGCCCCACCGTAGGATACCCTTACTGTGCTTGTAATTAGTAAGCACTGGGGTGAAGGGAGTGCTCTGGTACCACGTGACTTCTCCACCTGCAGCTGACTCATTTCTCTACACCCACCTGGGAGGAAGACGCTGTGATGCCATTCCGTGCAGCGAGCTATGATCTATGGCTATCATTTATTGTGACTTTCAAGTTGTCCCCAGTGTGGCCAGCAGAAGCCCCTGCAAGGTGGCTGCTATGTCCCCTGGAAGCATTTCCATCATTCTCATAGGGTTTCTTGGATTTGGGGTACAACAAAATGTTGCAGGCTCCAAACTAACAGTCACTTCTCCAAGAAGTCTGGGTTCTTGAAGTGAAACTGGTATTTAGAAGCCAAGAGGGTAAGTATGTACATAGCTATTGGGGTGTCACTAATTCTAGCCACTCTAGGTTTGCAAAGCTAGAAAATGCATGCATCCGTTTTCACACACACCACCATATCTACAGCCATGCTGATCCCCATATAGACCTACGGGATGCAAAGGTGTGCTAATTCCCACATAGACCTAATGGAATGCAAAAGTGTGAACCCTCAGCACACTCACTGTAAACTTAGGCCACAGGTTCACTGTGGCTTTGCCCCCTTTGTTTCTCCACCCTGGCTTCCATACCTTTCTACAAGTACCACTGGCTCAGCCCCTCCATGCAGGAGCACCCCTTGTCTACCTGAACCCTGCCTGGTATGCAGCCAACCACTCCGTGCTGGGGCTCCGAGGACCCAGGCAAGGCACCCTCCTCTCTGCTGTACCCCTCTGTGCCAGCTCCCCACCTCACCCTTACCACACTCCAGGGAAGGGAAGGCTTAACTGGCTTTTAAGTAAAGAGCTGCTCACTGCCTGTTGTCCTCTGTGTCCAGGGTATGCCAATGGGCCCGTTTTCAACCCAAATGCACAAGACTGCAATGCAGCAGGCTCCGACATGGTGAGGCTTTTTTTTTTTTTAATCTTTTTGGGAAGTGATAAAAACAGACTCTAATTATACCCAAAATGTCTACTGAAATCCTCAGGGAAATGGTGAATCAACTAGCTGAAGGCAACTGGAAAGAAGCGATTTTTAAAAAGTCATCAGAAAGACCAGTTTCCACCCCATGATTTACTTAAATCAGCTTCTCTGAGGGCTGAGCGCTGTGTCCCTGCAGTCGATGAATTTTCACCTGGCCAACACCTACTTCTACGTCCTACATCTGAAAAACCTCAGGATTCTATTTCAAATTTGAAATTCAGGTAGAACTGAGAGACTTGGAAAAGAAAGAGATATATTTCTCAATTTTGAAATAACAAAATCTGTGGGATAAAATCTTTTCAAACCTTAAGTAAAGCTTTAAACCAATAGCAGAGAGCAGAGCACGTAACTAGTCATCTACACTTCAATAAACCCCTTACATCAACAGCAGAGGGCCGGTAACTAGTCGGGCACAGGCCCTCTGCCTGGCACAGGACAGGCACCCCCACCACCCTGACCAGGCCATCTTCAGAGTCACTCAGCACACAGTCACTGGGCATCCCCTACATCCTAGGAGGTTCTCTAAGCCAGTGCTCCCCCAAGTGCCAGACCACAGGCTGTCTGTTACTG